GTGCTGCTATGATCAGTGCCTCAGTGCTGTCTTTTAGTCCAGCCCTTTCCAGCCACTGATGGGATTTCCTAATGTCAGCCACCTCAGCTATCTGTGGTACATCCCATGCAGGGGCTGGTCCTGCCATGGCAATTCCTCTGAACTTCTTCCCATGTCTGTTGCTGCCTCAGGCATTCTCTCAGCAGCATATCTTTGGGTGCCATCTTAGTGATGTACTCCTGGATGCTCTGGGTTTCATCCTGGACAGTAGTTTTGACACTCACCAGACCCCGCCCGCCCCCTTTGCAGCTGGTGTGCAGTCTCTGGGTATTGGACTTGAGGTGGAAACCTCTGTACATTGTGAGGAGCTCCTGGGTCTTACATATATTATATATTTTACACACACACACACACACTAGGGGAAAAAATATATATATATATATATATTTTTTTTTAAAGAATAAGAACAACACAAATTTTGAAAGCAAGAAGAAAAGAAAGAAAAGTAATAAGTGGAAAAAATAGTGTAAAGAAAAAAATAGAAAAAAAGAAAAGAAAACATTATAGAGAAGCGACTTCCAGTCTTCTTAACAGCAGTTACAAGTACATTTATATTTTACTGTCTGTCTCTAAGGTTACAACATAATTTCCTCCTTTCCATAGTCTACCCTTTCTAATCATCAAACCCATAAATCACAAGTTCATTTTTTGTTTCAGCAAAAAGTCCGTAAGGGGGTTCCAGTGATAGATGGTTTGTATTTTGACTTGCTTTTTCATATATAAGTATTCTGTGACTGTTCTTGATCACCATAACAATCATTTTGTGAATGGGTGAGATATGGCATCCACTTATGAGTGTGCCTATGACATACTTCTGTGGAGCGTTGGAACTTGAAGTTTTTCCACCATGTTTCCAAAATTCAAAATCTGCCAACGAGTCGAAAAAATTTGACTTGTCTTGGTTTTCTCTTCCTGCATAGCATTCTGCAAATCAGAAAGAAGAGAGATAGGGAATGAAACTTTTTTTTTAATCTGGGTAGGGACTCTGTCCCCTCCCCCGTTATCTTTTGAGTAGGAAAGGAGAGGAGGAAAACATGTTTACTGGCAGGTCATATAAGTTGTTATTCCTCTGCCTTCCATTCTTACAAACATGCATTTCCATATATCTTGGAAGAACTAACTATTAAATTATATCCATTGTCTTTGTTGTCAGAAATATTACTCTGTGCAAGTTACATAAAGTAAAAATCATTGCCAACACAAACAATTTGCAAACTACAGTGGTTACTGGTTGATTTATGGGTGTAATTCAAAGTGCTAGTTATCACCTACAAAGCTCTGTATGGCATACAGCTTAGTTATTTGAGGGACCATCTCTCTCCCATTGTCTCTGTTTCTGCCCATCCTATAAGATTAGATGGAGTCAGCATGCCCTGGGTCCTGTTAATTAAACAAATATCATCTGATGGGACCCAGGAAGCAGACTCCTTCCCCAGGCTTTGGCTAGGACAGGATGTGGACTCTCTTTGTGAGGGGTTCTTATGTCTGTTCCAGGATGACCATCTTCCTTTTCTGTTGTCTGTTGTTCTGTTTCTTTGGTTTTCAATTTGTGCACTGTCTAGGGTCATTGAGAATTCAGGCAGTTTTAAAAATGTGAGTTATAAGAATAAAATAAATAACATTTCTTCTCATATAGCCCTTAAATGTCAATATTACTGATGGAACTGCTGTTTTCAAGAATGCTTGTGGATCTTTGAGATTTCAGAATTATACAATTGAAGAAAATTATAGTGGAAAAGAATTATGAAGGAAACATTAAAAGAGGATAAACCAGATGGATGGAAGTGTTCTGTGTTCTTGGACAGTGTTCATAAGCAATTATAGCAATTTGCAAGAGTTCCTTTGGGGAAGATAAAGGCAGCTCCTCCCAGTATCATCCTGTGCTTTGACTTAAGAAGGTGTGTCTTTCTGTCATTATGGACACACCTGTTTACCAGAAAACCTTGCTCTGCTACTAGTGATCTGTATGAAAATAAGTTGGAAGATGAGAAATCCTCCTTGGTGGTTTCATTTACCAGATTGTTGACAAGTAAAACTCAGTGCAAACCATCAAACAAAGTGCTTGTTATATTTCACCCCAATGTCTTTATTATAGTATTGTAGTATATACTATATAAAGAAGAACAGAAGGGAATTAACAAAATAACAAATCACAACACTGACACATGGAAAACCCTTGTAAACTTGGAATAAAACTGAAATTTTCAAGTAGATTCCATTGAAAAGAAAGGACAGCGTTTCCTCTAAAGCATAGGAGAGTAAAAGCTGGCAACAAGAACTTTCTCTTTCTCTCAGGAGACCAGTTTAAAGGAAGGCCAGTTTCATTGAGAGAACTTTCATTTGTAACCTGAGTCCATAACTCCCAAGGTCTTAACTTTTTCAAAAAATGAGTTATTTCTCACAATTCCCCTCTCTAGATGGAGAAGACAGCGACACAGAGGGAAAAAGATTTCTTTCTGTCTCAGATGTGATCCACTTCCATATGTGAATTTAACTGAGCCTGATTGATTCAAAGGGAATGTTTGGGGTGAGAAACAGTAGAATTTTACCTGGTTTTAGCTGTTTCATTGTCAGTTTATTTTGTGGCCTACAAAACTGCTGTGGTTAAGCTAAGAACCTTAGGCATGAGTTTGGATACAAAGTGATTAAGTCATCATCAGTGTGCATTTTGAGATTGCTTTGCCAGTGCTAGAAAATAGCCTACTTTGGAAAAGTTGTTTGTACTTTAATTTCTGGACAAAATCGGCTCTCATAGGGCCAAAGTACATAGTAGCTTAAACCCATAGGTTTCTGAGTTGATTTGGTAGATGTTGTAGTGTAAAAATGTGTAATAGTAGCTCTAAGCAATGTTTCCTCTAAGCCATAGAAACAGAGGTGCAGGTCATGATGCCTTCTGAGCAACAGTTTCATTGGCCTTAGCAACCCCAGGTTGGGAGGCATTGATTTTCAAAAAAACTACATAATATACTTTACATTTCTAAACTTTCAACATTATTTTAAAAAATGGAAAACTACATATTTTGATTCAAATGAAAATATAATTGTACTATACAATGTGTACATAAAATATATATTTATATATACCCCCCCTCTCTCTCTATATATATATACACACATACACACACATTTATATATATTAAAACAATGTTAAAAAGTAACTTAAATAGGCAATGATTGCTGAGTACAAGTGAGTTAAAGTTTGTTGTACTGGAAATATGAAAATTGGCATTCTGAGAATATTCACTAACATTGTGACCTGTATCACGAATGATGCGAAGTTCACATTTCTTTTTCAATTACTAAATGTGTGTGCTACATTTCAGGTATCCAGTGCAGATGCTAAGTGAGGTTTCAGTTTAACAACAATATTAAGATGAGGTCTGATAACAAATTGAAGGTTGTCTTTTTCATTATACAGGTAGTCCCCAGTTTAAGAATGAGTTCCATTCCCGAGGTCCATCCTTAAGTCAAATTTGTATGTAAGCCAGAACAGTATTATTGATAATACTGTGTAAGTAGTACTGTGTAATGAACTCGAACCATTGTGTATTTAACTCAAATTATTGTGTATTTAACTTGAATTTTGCTACAGTAGGCTCCGTTCTTAACTATGGGTCGTCCTTAAACCAGGCATTCTTAACCCAGAGACTGTAT